GAAGAGAGAGAGGTACACCAGGGAGAGAGACGGGCCAAAGAGATAGAGCGAAGAGAGTGAGAGAGAGAAGCCAATTTCTGAAAAACTGATATGGGTACAATAAGTGGACAATAATTTTATATTTAAAGGTGTTAGTTGTAAAAAAATTGGGAATGAGTGGTATTTTTAGTTAAAATTAGCAAATGGATGGTATTGGATGTCATTTCCCAAAAAAAAAAGAATTAAATAGTATTTATATTTAGAACCACATCCCACGTATGCAAAATTCTTTGTGCAAATTGGGCTTGACCCATGTACGTTTTTTGCTTAAGATGTTTCAATTGGGCTTTCACTTAGGCCTACCCTAACCTGGGCAAAGTGTATGTAGCCCAAGCTCAATTGGTCATCATGGTTGCTAGCCCATCCCCAGGCGCATTGATTTTGACCAAAAAATAATACAAATATCATGGGGCTATAGATATTTTGCTTGCTAGTCGTAGCCCACGTGTAACCTCACTTTCTCTCTCGCTCATGGAAGACACAACACAACCACGTTCTCTCTTTTTCAACAGGAGAGAGTGATTCATATATGTGTTGGCTGGCACAAATGGACTTTTCTGGCTTAGAAGAAAATATTAAAAAATGATTCGATATTTTGCACAACAACACTATTAATAAGTCACCTTCAGATCTATCACAGTGGAAAAATATATTGATTTATAAACTATTGTTCTCAAATTTGAAATTTTATGTCATGATGGCACCCTCGTAGTATGTGAGAGAAATCCCTAACCCTCTTGTAGTTTAGAGTATCGTTTGTATATTTTTTTAAAGAGTAACATTCGATCATTTATCAATGATTCAACGTTGTTGTTTAGCTAAGGAAGAATACCTCATTAATCTCATTCCTCCGAGTCCTAACTATAATTAGCATAACAATTAGATCGAGTTTACCAACAAGAGGATGAAATTTGCAGTGGAAATAACAAGTCTTGTGACTTATATATGATGTCTATGATATAAAACCAGAAAATGTTGGCCAACTCAAATTCAAAATGGTAAGACTGAAGATGACAACTCGCAACAAGATTTTTTTTCTTCTTTCTTTTTCTGTATGATGGGATTTGAGGCTCCAGGCGGACATGCCTTGTCACAATGTGTGGCTGGCTCTGTAGACAATAGCTTTTTTGGACATAACTTACCCACGAAATTGACTTATTAATCAACAGTGCATGGACCATCTTATTAATTAAATTAATTTGGGGCTGATCTTAATGATATGAAAACAAAAGAAGATTAAGTTATGCTCTTCATATATATAAAATAAAATAATTCAAGCAAATTAATACATGGTTTTTAATTCCAAGTATATGGGAAGGAGCTTCTGACTTTGTTCAGTGAAGCTTGGAAATTCCAATGGATGTGTTACTTAGAGTGTAAGCTACCAACTTACAACTTACTTCATTTATTGTATAAGTGCAGGCCTACCCTCCCATTGCATACATCAAATGTTAGTCCTCCTCCAATTTTGCCATGAAATTAATTAAACATGACAAGCAAAATTGGGTGCTAGCTCAGGAAAATTTATAATTATTATATGCTGCTGCTGCTGCTGCTATTGATGGATGAGGTAGGGAAATGCAGCTGCTGCAGTCTTACTACTATTACTAGAACTACTCCCCACAAAGTTGGAGCCGCTTGTCCTCTTAACAAATCGACCTTTCATCCTAGGCCTCTTCTCTGCGTTCAGCTTCCTTACTTCGTATCTTATTTTCTTTGAAAACAGTCGTGTCCTTCGCTTCTCTCTGTACCTTGAAACCCTTGCTTCTCTTCCTCGGTCATCGCCTCTTCCACCTACACATCCTGCACTCTCTCCATGTCCATGTGACTGATGAATTTGATCACTCCCCCACATACCCTGCAATAATATATATGTCCCCACAGTTATAGTTAATTAGTTTTTACTTTTATGTACACATTATCAATGTGTGAGCTTCATTGCATTGTGTTTGTGTTTCTTCTTCAATATTTATATGTACATAGTCTACTTCTAGACCACGCTCATTAATGCACATGTTTTTCAAATTTCCCTATTGTTACAGCAATCACATGCACAACAAAGAGTACACACCTGAGTAATTCAAATCAGTATGTTTTGTTTTGTAGTATAGTATATCTAGAGTAGGACCAGAAAATGCACAGAGAGAGAGAGAGAGAGAGAGAGAGAGAGAGAAGAAAAAAGTAGTATTTTTTTACCATGCAGTCTAGCCAGCCATCGTCTGGGTTAAGCTCCGGTCGAGTTCCAGTCGTCCATGGAGAGCCTTGGTTTGCCCAGGCAGTGATGATTGCCTCGTAATCAAGCCTCAAACATATCTTCCTCTTCATCATCATCTGCTTGTTATCCATTAGTGCCACCTCATCACTACTCTGAGCTCCCATGAGGAAGACCACCTTCTCCTCCTCCTCACCACCCATTGGCAATGGTGATGATGATAATCTAAGTTCATAATCCGAGTTCCAATCCAGCATTGATGGATTGAATTCCATTCCTTCAGCTTCCTCTTCAACCTTCACTGCTTTCCTGTCTTCATTTATGTCAACATTCTTCATGCAAACATCCACACCCCCATCTCCTTCTAATTTGCTATCATCTAATAGTCCCAATACTCCTTTGATGTCACCAGAATCTTCATCATCAAGTCCTCCACCAATCAGGTTCTCAACATCTGCAGCAAACTCAGCGAGCTCCATATCTGATGGTAGAAAGCCTGGCAAATTATCCAAATCATTTCCTCCATAATTATTATTATTGTTCTCCTCCTCATCATCTCCAACTTCATGATGGTTTCCCCTTCCCATCTCAGTTACCTCATCATCAAGATTAATGGCACTGGTGATATTCCCAACTTCATGACTTGACATGTTGCAAAGCTCAGCTGCAAAAGGGTCATAGATTGGGACCCTATACAGAAGCTGCTCTAGATCTTCATTCTCCCCATCATCATCCATGTAATTAGCTTCTTCGCATCCAATCTCCGGCACGAAAGGAAGAGGAGGGTTTAAACTTACTTTCTCTTTATCATCTTTGGCCATGAATGGAGGCTTATTATTGTGGCGTGGAGTTCGTGCCTTGCGTGTGAACCCCTTGTGCCAAGCCGGTGGAGATTGGTCCGCGGCCAGTAGAGTCGACTGATTGGGTTTGGAAGATGCAGCTTGGAGCTTAACCCTCTCATGTCTGCTTGCTAACTGGTTTGCTGAGTGCACTGAGCCATCACATCTTTGGCAAAGAAAAGCATCATCAGCAGCACAAAACCATCGAGCCCGTTTAATCAGACAGCTATCACAAGCTCTAGCTGTGTTACCTCCCATGGCATTTGCTTTCTTTTCTGTGATCATAATTAATTTGCAGCTGCAAAAGTGTTTGATAAAATTAGAGAGAAGCGTTTTGTGTTTTGTGTTTCAAAGCCAAGAAAAGAATGCAAGTGACCTGCCTCACAAGTCACAACTCACTAAGGAATATTGAGGTGGAATCCCTTATTTATTTAGAGGCCCAAATGGTTCAATTATTAATGTGTGTGGGGACTGGGAGAGATGGTGAGAGATAATGAGGAGAAGACCCACTGCAGCGCTTTTAGTCTTTCACCAGTAGCCCATGCAGTTGTTTTGGTGGTTTGCTACAGAGGAAGAGGATGCTGCTATGCTTCTTTGGGACCCATAAGGAGGTCATATCTCACTCCTGATTGGCTAAACTTCTGAAGTTGATCTTATGCTCTCAAGTCTGATTGGTTAAACGGTAATGGAGGGATCCAGGTGGACCCAACTGGAGAGAAAAGTAGGGCAAGGACACAACTGGGCCTCTTGTGTGTTCTGTGTTGTGGAGGTAAGAGAATGTAAAAAATTGAGTAAGACCCTTTTGTTGCTTAGTTTCTAGAATTCAATAATTCATATTAGAAGAATTCGACCCTTTAAAAACTCTTGTTTTTGGTCCCCTCCCTCCCTATGGTTGCTTTCAACTCTCAACTCTCTTGTTGTGGTTCCCATCTCTCACTCTCACCTAAAACCACTCTCCTCCACCTCTCAATTCTACTGTCACTGTGCAGGTCGTTACTTCTGTTGTAACTTGTAAACGAATCTGAGTCTCAGTTAGAAAAAAAAATTGTAATAAAAAAAACATAATTGGAGCCCAATCATCCAGCTGTTTAATGGTAATTGATTCACACCCACTGATTTCATTTCATCATTGCCTTATCTGCTTATATGTCACTGCTCACAATCGTCGTTAGCACCAACTTGTTTGACTTTGCTGATCCAAAAATAGAAAGGAACTATAGTACATTTTCACATACTTGGCTAAACTTGTGTCTTGTGTGTGATGACTTGGTAAACAAACAGATTAAAAGTTAAGCCGACATTAGGCTGAAAACTTGCCAATCAAGATAAGCTTGTGCTTGGGGTCAGGCCAATATTAGAATGCTGCCAAACTTGTATAAAACCATAAACCTGCACATGCCACGCAGAGAGAGAGAGAGAGAGAGCATCCTGGTTTTTCTCAGAGAGTACTCTTTATTATAAAAGATGGTATTCTAATGAGGAAGTTTTTCACACAGAGTACTCTTTAATTATTATAAAAGATGGTATTCTAATGAGGAAGAAGAGTGCTGGGTTTGACACATAGTAAACAAACTGTACCTGCAAATTTATCATCCATACGTATATGTATGGAACGGACTGGACTGTGACTTATATGATGTTGAAGAACAACAAGAATATATAGTACAATGTTATTGTCAATTTGAAGATGATAGCTTGAAATCTATCTAGCTAGCAAACTGATGGTGGAATGGTAAGATCAAGTTAGGTTTTGACACGTGTATGCTCTAAGTGGGACGGCGCATAAATCAAAATTTTGGGTTATGATTTTGAGACTGCTAGCATTCCCCTTATGTGAACATCTAGTGCAACTGAAGCCAAGCAGAGATAGGTGCCACGTTTGATTTTTGGCTTGGGGCCATAAAATAACCAGTAACGGAACTCCACATATATACATTCATGGTGGAGATTTGTGTACTCTCTCTCTCTCTCTCTCTCTCTCATGGATTGCTGGAATCATTTAGACTTTGCCAAACAATTTGGTTTAGTCGGGTTCTGATCAAACACAATTCCTTGAGTTTGAATTGGGCTGGATGTGAATATTATATGTAAAGGCCCCTTAGTGGGCTAGCTCAGGTGAACCCACGCCCATTAGGGCGAGTGCAGTAAATTTGTGGGTATGTAAGAAATAAGACCCATAATTATATTATTGGACACTAATATATTACAAATTTTTTATATAATCGACATTGAGAGTAGAAGAATCGAATCTAAAACCTCAGGTGTATGAATGAATGATCTTAACCACTAATATATCACAAGTTAAAAGGATACAAATGGAAAGCCTAAAACATTACACACATTGCTGGTTGTGACATTCTGTCTGCATCATTGCCGTGGTTGAGCCTCTAAATGCAAAATATGAATTAAAAGATTTTGAGATTTCATGGCTGTGAGCCTTTACAAGAATTGGCATTATTTTGATTACAAGAAGAAAAAGAGAACGACCAACAAACTGTAGGATGGAGCATGAGTAAGCAATGTGCTGTAATTAGGAATGTTTGGGTTGTGTGTGCTGGTAGGACCATAAGCACTTACTCCCATTGGTGGATGAGAAGATGGCAACGGTGATGGAGATAGTGATATACATGGAACTATAGGATTTGGAGATTGCTCTGGTGACCCTGCGCTGTAATCTTCTCCATCTGCTGCACAAAAACAAAAACAAAATGAAGTAAAGAAAGAACGGAGGAGTCTTTTTTTTTTCGTCACTGATACATACATTGGTAGCTACCAGAGTAAGGGGATTATTACCTGAGCAGTTGGCATGAGTAGAATTTTCCAAACTGCAATGAAAAGAATATAAAAGCATTTTGTGATTCTTTCTGAATAGAAATTTAGAAATTTACTCCATGAATTTGTGGATAAAAATCCTGTGTCTTACTATCTACCTCCTGAAAATCTTGCGGCCATTGTGGCCTCGATACAGACATGTGCTGACATTACAACCAAGAGCATTTTGTTGGATAGACACATCGCCAATGAAAAGATCAGATTCTTTGCACTGCAGATGAGAGCATGAGGCGACAATGCCAGATGGAGAACAATGCAACCTGATCATTTCATTCAGTATCTTCTCAGGTTTATATATGTAAAGTTTGCAAACATGAAAACATGGTAATTGCAGTACTAAAATCTAAAAGCACTTTTTTGCTTGCTTGCTTACTTGAGACTGCTTGGTCTGCAAAAGCACGTTATGCAGTCGTTGGCAGTTAAGGCGGTTGAACCATTTGGAACTATTAAGCTCTCATTGTACCAGTTCAGATTTGCTGATGAACATGCTGCACAAACGCTGAGACTAAAATTAATTAAAATGAATTTACTTCATATTTGTACTAAAATTCCACACTTACTTTACCAAACACATGCAGTTGATAACATGTTGACCAGTGAGTAGATAATGATATGGCATGTTACAAACAACAACCTACCTTTCTGCTACATAAATCTTAACAACCAAAAAGCCATACTAATTAACCTGAAAATGGAATAGCCAATATGTCTCCGGGATCTACCCGCGGTTGATCGAGGCCATTGATGCTCGCCAACTCCATCAAAGTTGCTCCAAATTCCCGTCCAATGCTGCTAAAGCTCTCCCCACTCTGCACCACATATGACATGTACACAGAGGCAACCCCATTGTTAGTATTGTTAAAGCACGTACATGGCAACTGTATCATAATGCTCTGCCCGCTCGTCAGTGGATTCTCTGGACCAATCCTATTCATGGTCCTAATTTGTTCTGCACTAACAAGCCCCCCATACCCTTGTGATATCAGATCCAAGCTGTCAGCTGCCTTCACAGTGTAGGCTATTATAGACCGTCTGATCCCATCCACGCAAGCACATGAATTGGGAATTTTGAGCAGAGATTTTGCCTGCAGAATTTGGTTGCCTGGTGATGGAATGGTCAAGTTAATGGAGTTTGCAGCCAAGACATCAAAGACATTGACTTGGAAGCGATAAGCAATCTCAGAGAATTTTGACTCCCAAGGGACAATGTAGGAGAGAAGAGAGGTGCAGGAGTCTGAAGAGGAGCATGCTTCTATTGTGGACTTGGCATGTGTTACTAGTACTAGCAGTGTTGGGGAAAGAATGAAGATGAAAACAAGAAGTTGCTCAAGCTGGTTTGATCTCATCATCTTGTAAATTGCAAAGTTGCTAGCTTTTACTTGTGGGTTTCGAAAACATTAGCAAAGATCCTATCTTTTGTCCAAATTTTTGTTTTTCCAACGGATTTTTTGTCCAGATTTTTGTTTTTCTAATGGTTTAATTTTGACTGAAGTTGTTGGGTGTATACATCATAATTTATGAGACTTAGATGGGTTGGTGTGGTGTGGCAACCATTTTGATTCTAAATTTCTTTAGCTATAAATATACACATTTATGTACTGCTATGCTATAGGATAGTATAGGCCGTGGACATTGTCACATCATACCGACCAGTCTTTGGCCCTTGGGTGTTTCCATGAGTAGCTAAGCAATAATCAATTCTTCCATAGCCGTTGAAACTTGAATTGAATTCTTTATTGCCCATTGGTGGTGTGCTCAGTTTTTTTTTCAAGTACAAGCGTTGCCCTTACAACCGACCCGAGTTCATGCGTAGGACTCTTTCCACCCCCAATATTGCAAAAGATTGGGCATATATTCTTTCTTTTTGAAAAAAATAATAATAATAATTGGGCTGGGATCTTGAACATTTTATTGGGTTGGGCCATATTATATGTGTATGGGCTAAGAAGCTTATAACTTCATTGGACCGTCTCTAATTCATCCCTGTCCTCATGCGCCGTTAACGATGCTCGGAGCAACCGCCATTCTCCGCCAAGGAAGCGCGTACCGATATTGAGCGCGATCCTCTCACGCGCCACCGCTAATGAAACAGTTGGGCAGAATGGAGGGAAATGGCGATGTGCGGCCTCCGAAACGTAAACGATATTCAGTAAACACAGAAGTAGAACAGCAGCCTCACAAAATTAGGCGCGGAAGAGTTGAGTTCGAAACAGAAACCCTAACCCGAGAACCCGGCCCGTCGTTGTCAACTAGGTTCCAAGCCCTTTCTCCCTTGTCTCGGAGGCATAGGAAGCCGCAACAGAGTCGAGATGAGAGAGAGAGCTCCCGGCAGTGGGCTTTCTCTCCCTGCAACTCTTCTACTTCTACCTATAAAGGTGAAATATCAAACTATCAATTACTGTGTTTAGCAGCCTTCAACTGTCCAATTTGAACTTCGATGAATTTCTTCAAGCACAGACTTTTTCTTAGGATTGTGTGTTTGCTATGTGAAAGACTGCAATTAGCTATTTAGTATGCTCAGGCAAACGAGGCTCTTGAGTTTTAGGCCATGGAATGTTCCTGACGTCTTTAAGC